CAAATTGAATGCGCCGATAATAATGTTTTGGGTCTAAACCCTAAAGGTTCTAACTAAACCTTGACCGTCTTAAACTGGTGTGGTTATTTTCTTGTGATTTTGTTAGGTCTTAGGTGGGCTTATTTTTGATAATGTTACACTTAAAATTATAAAGTGACGTATTTATCTATAATTTTAAAAGTAGTATTATTTTTTTTCAAAACTACCCCTTTTACTTCTCTTACCCCTGCCGCCTCAGTCCTAGTTTTATTACACCTTTTAATTGCATCGAAGACAGCTGCACAAGGGCTCGTCTCCTATTCGGTTGTTTTTAAAGGGCAGAAGGTGCAATTCAGCCCCTCTACGTGTAATGTTGGGGCAGATCAGCCCCTGTACTAGAAACACTGGCAAATCAGCCCCTTAATAGAAGGGGTGATTTGCAGATTTCATGTAGTAAACGAGCTGATTTGCCAATGTTTTTGGTACAGGGGCTGATCTGCTACAACATTGCAGGTACAAGGGCTGAATTGCACCTTCTGCCTTTTCAAAGCCATCTCGTCTTAATTTGCGATACGCCGTCCTTGGATTAATTCATGGCCATCCTCTTTTGCTCTTCTTCTGGTTCTTCCTCTCTTCTTTTTTTTTTTTTAATATACACATTGCTAAAATTTTATACGTTTTTTATGAGTTTTTTAATATATATATAAATATGGTTGGATTTTTATTTTTGTTGTTAAAATTATTATTTTACTTTGTAAATTAATTATTACATTGATCTAATATAGAATCTTAAGAAATAAATACAAATTATTAAAGTACTAGACAATCTAAACATATATATATCTCAATTGTTTGAGAAATCATTTGAAATGCATGATAATAATCTCCTTCAAAGCAGGAAAAGATTTTATTTAAAAAAAATATATATAACAACCACCAAGAAATCTAAAAAAAAAAAATGATTTAATTATTCTATAGAAAAAATAGCCCTTTTTTTATTTTCATTACCAATTGTAATTAAGAATGATTTGATTCAAAATTTTGTATTTTTCGTTTTTTTTTTCCAAAATAACTTGATTATTTTAAAGAAAAAGAAAAATAAACTCAAATTTATTTTTGGAAAGGGAAAAATATGGAATAGAAAGAGGGTTACAACAGTAAAGATTAAGAGAAGTAAAAAGGGAGCTGATAAAAAGAGAAGTAAAAAAGGATAAGGGATAGTTTTGAAAAGAAAAAAAATATTGTCTTTAGAATCATGGATATGTTTATTTATACTTTTAAGTGTGACATTATCAAAATAGGATGTGATAATAATTTTATATTATTTTGTTAAAATTATTTAAAAATGATTTAGTTTAATTAATATTTTATTTATTTTTAAATTTTAAGTAATTATTTATAATATTTAAATATATTAATTTTAAGATATTAGTGTATATTAGTTTTGGCTCTAAAAATTA